GCAGCAAAACCAGTTCAAAGTGCTGCCCACAGAGAGAGAGAGAGAGAGAGAGAGAGAGAGAGAGAGAGATGACTTGCTTGCAGACGGCTAAGCTACCTTGCCAGAAAGGTCCGCCAAACGGGGCCCGGCGCTGAACTTGACATGCGACTGAGAAGCCTCCAGTCCAGTCTCACACAAAATTCAGACCCATTGGCATTGGCACTCAAGGCATCTCGTAATTTTGCGGGCCGTGCGTTGGGCCGCGGCGACCCGGTTCTTCCAAGAGCCGCTTTTTGTTGGCCCCTTACTTTCCTTTTGATTTCTGGCGCAAAATCACAGCAAAACAAGAACCACCTGGGCATCTTGTCGCAACTGGGCTCTGGGCATCCGTGGCTGGTCGAAGGGAGCTCCGACCTGGGTAGGACCGCTGAGTCGGGAGAAGTGACCCAGCTTGATGCCAGCAGAAGGTACCAGTAGAAGCCCACTGAAAACCGAGTCGGGAATTGGTGCATTGTAGGGCCTTGATGTGCAAGTGAGTCATCGCAGTCTGCCTGGAGTCTCCCCCAACATCCCTTCAACATGGTAGGTTTCGAGCTACGGAGACTCAACGTGGTATTGCCGGGTTGGGCAAACCCACGGCAAAGAATTCACAGACCGAAAATAAGGGAACCTGTTGAATTTCAATCTTCATCATGAGGGTGATCCATAGTGACGTTGCTACAGCAGAGCCCCAGGGGGGGGAGGGGGGGAACCGTGCTTGATCTCATCCAGCCAAGCAGCCTGTTTCCGCGGCGCTGGTGCCACTTGGGACACTATGGAGCCTCCAAAGCCTGCAGCAACCACTTCTCTTCCAACTTGTGTGTCTAGAAATGGCGAAACCTCTTGCGGCCGTTGAAAAAAAGGATAAAGGATAAATAAAATCAAAAAGAAAGAACAGAAGTTTGCTTCCCTATCCTTTGACAAACCCCACACCTTGCATCTCACACTGCCACGCCTCGTGGCCTCTGCGACCCAGGCTGGGCATGCCTGCACGGTGAAACCCAAGGGTAAGGGACCATGGCCTCAAGCCCTCAGAGGTTGGCTTGAAGCCACATGTTTCCCTTGCTTCAAGCACTGCGCTTGGCACTCACACGCAAACGCCTGAAGTCGTCTCGCCGCTGCATTCCTCACATGGCTTGGGTACTTTCCAAACATAGGGGACAAACACCCACAAAATCGTTGGCTCCTTTGGCTTCTCTTTAAACACTATCCAAACCGGCCCCCAACTGTTGGACACGCGACTTTCACGGGGGTGTGGAAGATTCCGCCACAGAAGAAAGGAGCAAATAGAAGTCAACACTGCGTCCACGGCCAGTTGGTTTTCTAATTCTTGTTGATTCAATTGTTTCCGTTGCTGTATCTAGACCGGCACGCCCAAGTATCGGATTATTTCTTGTTTCAACTCACCGTGGTTTCCAATAGAACCAAGGACCCTAAGTTATGAGTGTCCTCAGTGTCCGTTCTTGTTTAAGTACCTGCCTACTTCTGGAAAACCCGACAACCAGATTTCTCAACGCCTCCGTCGGCCGCCCCCCCCTCTTGGAGCAAACTGCGACTCGCGCAGGGTCCTTGTTCAGGCGGCAATCCTTGGCACGGAGATCCTTGGCACAGAGCTGCGTGCTTCGAAAAGTTCAGGCACCTCAACCCGCCTACCTGTCCCTATTTAGTCTCTGATTTTTGGCCTCAATCGCAGAAATGTAATTTCGGACAGAGCCGGGCTCCATTTTGGGCAAGCCAAAGGTTGACTTCAACCCAATCGTCCCGCTATTGCGAAATGAACCTCTCCCTTTGTCACCATCCCACATGTCCGTGTTCACAACGCTCCCCACCCAATCCCCTGAGGCTTTGTCCACCCCGCACCCAGCGCAGGCCAGGGCCCGGTACCGGGCCACCCGGTCGGCCTCGCACCGATCCTGCTGGCGTCAAAGGGCCAGGGCCACTTTGCAGGGCCTGGGCAGCCGGGAAGTTGGAAAGAAACAAATAGCACTGACTTCGTGCATTTCCAGCCGAAAACGGAAGTCTCATTCCTGCTGGGTTTTTGCTTGGGGAGCTCTGGGACGCGAGCGCGCTCAGAGCCTTGTCGGGGGCCTGGCCAGCGTGTGCAGCATAGGAAGCCGCGGTCACAGGAGCCGCGGTCAAGACCCACACGGAACAAGCAGGGATCGCCCACATCTAAGAGTAGCGCCAGCGATGTTTGCGAATTGACATGGAAAAGCACCGTTCCTCCCCCTCCCCCCCCTTCGAGCAAGCTGCCCAGAATCCGCAACTCCGGCACCTTCCCCCGCACCCCCCTCCTTACCGACTTTGTCCAGCGCAAACAGGTACCTGCAAGTACCTGCGGCCTCAAATCAAAATATTTTGCTGGCCCTGCCGCCGTCGAAGTGCCTTGCAGACTTTTTTGCGGCACCTGCAGCTAGCTTGTTTGTGGCCCAGGTACCCGCAGCCCTTTTTGTGTCTACCAACTCGCTGTTCAAGGCGTCTTACGCTATGGGGCGAAAAGTTGCTTTTGCAAATTCCCGAAAATATCTTACCACAATTCAATCTGAATCCGCGCGTGCGCTTGCTCAGCATTGCTGTGCGCGCAAGTTTGGGCTGCAGCCGGTGCAGCTTGCCAGCAGCCTGACTACATGCGATTCTTCGAAAAGCTGCTCGCAAATGCGGTATCAAACAACACCGCCCGAAGCATCAACTAATCCCACAGCTCCGGCGAATTACATCCGTTGTAGCGATTATCCACGCTTAAAAAAAGCAATGCTCTGCTGCTCCGGAGCGCATCTTTCAAGAAACCCCGGCAAAGGGGGTCCATGTCCCATAATGCTGGGCGGCCTTCACTGGCGGCCGACGAGGTGCCAGTGGCCTGCGGAATCAAGCAAATGTATTTTTCTTGGGGTCCAATTTAGGTATTTGGGGGGAAACGGGGAAGGGGTCCTGTATTCGGGGTACATCTGCCCGTTCCATGCATTACTTTGAATGGGGAAAATGAGTGACGGCATTGGAAAATCCCGGCTGCGGTGAGTTGGTTCAATCTCTGCGTTGGGTTTGGTTCAGTGCCCAATCGTTGGCGGGAAGCAACATGCACCACGAAATATTGATCTTCTTTGCCCAACACTTGCCAACAGCACTGAGAGATGCAATGCGAAAGGGTCTACCCAAAACCCACAGCAATTAATCAAAAGGGTGCAGTTTGCTCTCCGCACCCATTTCTGGCAAGGGGATGGACATCCGCCATTCTCAATTGTCTTGGCTTTTGACAAGGGACATAAATGAATGTATGTATATATATATATACTTATATGTATATATATATATTGTGTGTGTGTACGTGTGTCTTATTTGAGGGTACCGTTTGTGGATTGGTTTTAAAGGGTGACCGATTCGGGCTCCCAGGCGCATGTGGACTGCGTGGACTGCGTGGAGAAGCCAGGCGCCGCCTCGCAGCTGTGGCGGTTTTCCTTTCGCGTAACATGGGTGTGGCACATGAAAACCTTGCCTTAGGTGTTCAAACAACTGGCTGGGTCAAAACCAATGGGATCCCATTTTGGGGTAGGTGAATTCACCACCCATTTTAGAACCTATTTTCTTGGGGATTGGGATGTTCACTGGGGGTAGTTCCAGAATGGATGGGACAAAAAGAGCAACCATTTTGCTTATATACCACCAAACTGGTCTTCCCAAGAAGCTTAAAGTCCGGGAACTGAGGAAGTGAGACCAGGATCCCCCTCAAGAAAATGCAAACCCATATGGGCATGGAATTTGCCTTCAAATGGACATTATGTTGCTTGACATACTTCAAGTTGCTGCCTTTCAAAAACCACCACCATGACAAAACAACATTGCTCTGCTTGCGCCACAGCATCTTAGACAACACTGGCTGACAAGATGTGCATGATTCTGAGGCGACTCACCTCTGGCAGAGAGGAAATGGTGGCCTGCATCATCGTATCTTGATGCGCCACAGAGTGTTGCTCTGCTTGCGCCACAGCATCTTAGACAACATAGCAAGCGGCATGTTGCAAGAGCTGAGGACACACCTCAGCACCAAGCCTGGCTGACAAGGTGTGCATGATTCTCAGGCGACTCACCTCTGGCAGAGAGGAAATGGTGGCCTGCATCATCGTATCTTGATGCGCCACAGAGTGTTGCTCTGCTTGCGCCACAGCATCTTAGACAACACAGCAAGCGGCATGTTGCAAGAGCTGAGGACACACCTCAGCACTGAGCCTGGCTGACCTGCATCATCGTATCTTGATGTGTTGCATGATTCATCAGGCGACTCACCTCAGCTGGCTGAGATGAGGCGAAATGGTGGCCTGCATCATCGTATCTTGATGCGCCACAGAGTGTTGCTCTGCTTGCGCCACAGCATCTTAGACAACACAGCAAGCGGCATGTTGCAAGAGCTGAGGACACACCTCAGCACTAAGCCTGGCTGACAAGGTGTGCATGATTCTCAGGCGACTCACCCTGGCAGAGAGGAAATGGTGGCCTGCATCATCGTATCTTGATGCGCCACAGAGTGTTGCTCTGCTTGCGCCACAGCATCTTAGACAACACAGCAAGCGGCATGTTGCAAGAGCTGAGGACACACCTCAGCACTAAGCCTGGCTGACAAGGTGTGCATGATTCTCAGGCGACTCACCCCTGGCAGAGAGGAAATGGTGGCCTGCATCATCGTATCTTGATGCGCCACAGAGTGTTGCTCTGCTTGCGCCACAGCATCTTAGACAACACAGCAAGCGCATGTTGCAAGAGCTGAGGAGACACCTCAGCACCAAGCCTGGCTGACAAGGTGTGCATGATTCTCAGGCGACTCACCTCTGGCAGAGAGGAAATGGTGGCCTGCATCATCGAATCTTGATGCGCCACAGAGTGTTGCTCTGCTTGCGCCACAGCATCTTAGACAACATAGCAAGCGGCATGTTGCAAGAGCTGAGGACACACCTCAGCACTGAAGCCTGGCTGACAAGGTGTGCATGATTCTCAGGCGACTCACCTCTGGCAGAGAGGAAATGGTGGCCTGCATCATCGTATCTTGATGCGACACAGAGTGTTGCTCTGCTTGCGCCACAGCATCTTAGACAACATAGCAAGCGGCATGTTGCAAGAGCTGAGGACACACCTCAGCACTAAGCCTGGCTGACAAGGTGTGCATGATTCTCAGGCGACTCACCTCTGGCAGAGAGGAAATGGTGGCCTGCATCATCGTATCTTGATGCGCCACAGAGTGTTGCTCTGCTTGCGCCACAGCATCTTAGACAACACAGCAAGCGCATGTTGCAAGAGCTGAGGACACACCTCAGCACTAAGCCTGGCTGACAAGGTGTGCATGATTCTCAGGCGACTCACCTCTGGCAGAGAGGAAATGGTGGCCTGCATCATCGTATCTTGATGCGCCACAGAGTGTTGCTCTGCTTGCGCCACAGCATCTTAGACAACATAGCAAGCGGATGTTGCAAGAGCTGAGGAGACACCTCAGCACTAAGCCTGGCTGACAAGGTGTGCATGATTCTCAGGCGACTCACCTCTGGCAGAGAGGAAATGGTGGCCTGCAGCATCGTATCTTGATGCGCCACAGAGTGTTGCTCTGCTTGCGCCACAGCAGCTTAGACAACACAGCAAGCGCATGTTGCAAGAGCTGAGGACACACCTCAGCACCAAGCCTGGCTGACAAGGTGTGCATGATTCTCAGGCGACTCACCTCTGGCAGAGAGGAAATGGTGGCCTGCATCATCGTATCTTGATGCGCCACAGAGTGTTGCTCTGCTTGCGCCACAGCATCTTAGACAACATAGCAAGCGGCATGTTGCAAGAGCTGAGGACACACCTCAGCACTAAGCCTGGCTGACCAGGTGTGCATGATTCTCAGGCGACTCACCTCTGGCAGAGAGGAAATGGTGGCCTGCATCATCGTATCTTGATGCGCCACAGAGTGTTGCTCTGCTTGCGCCACAGCATCTTAGACAACACAGCAAGCGGCATGTTGCAAGAGCTGAGGACACACCTCAGCACTGAGCCTGGCTGACCAGGTGTGCATGATTCTCAGGCGACTCACCTCTGGCAGAGAGGAAATGGTGGCCTGCATCATCGTATCTTGATGCGCCACAGAGTGTTGCTCTGCTTGCGCCACAGCATCTTAGACAACACAGCAAGCGGCATGTTGCAAGAGCTGAGGACACACCTCAGCACTAAGCCTGGCTGACAAGGTGTGCATGATTCTCAGGCAGCTCACCTCTGGCAGAGAGGAAATGGTGGCCTGCATCATCGTATCTTGATGCGCCACAGAGTGTTGCTCCGCGTGCTCCATCCGCTCAGCTTGCATTGTGTTTGCTGTCACGCGCATGAGTCCGTCTCGCTTCTCGAAACAAGCAACAATCTCATCCACAAGTAATCTACTCTGCAGCCCTTGTTCTCCTTCAGGGTTCGGACCAATCGGGATTTCGCTCGACCTGAGTCATCAAGTTTATTGGGGCCTACCCAAAACCACTGGTATAGAATAAAGCCCGCGCTTTTGGCTTTCTGCGCCCATCAACAGCAAGGGGATGGAAGTCCAGAATGCTGATCTTCACCTACTGAAGTCCTGATCTCAAGTGCCCCCCCCCCTGCCCCCCCCCGCGTCGGCTCCCTTCACTGCCTGATCTGCGGTGCTTCCCTCCTGGGCCAGTGGGTTGAAAGGAACCCCCGAGCCGGGCATGGTTCCGGTAGGCATTAATCAAGGGGACGGACCCGACTAACGGCTCAATGCCAGGACCAGGACCTTCCATGGAGCCATCACAATGTGGGGGTGCGACTTTGTGTCCAGGTTTGGACCCCTAAAGCCAGGCTCCAGCCCTCAAGCCGCGGGCCCATTCCGCGCGGGCGACATTTTCGCGTGGCTGGGGCGGTCCTTTCCTGACACCTCTCTTGGTGGACAAGCTTGGGTTCCAAGCCCGTACGCAAATCCAAGAGGGAAAAATCATCGCGCTTGTGGCTCCGCCCTACGTTCAGTCGTCGAAACAATGACGAATCCTGCTCACTGGACTTTTCAAGTATAATCCTGAATCCTTACTTGGGAACCCCTGCCAAGGGAATTTGACTTCTTCTGCAGGGCCACCCCAAACCAATTGCCCGGTTCCCTACAACAAAAACGGGGTACCCTCCAAAAAAACAATGATCATTGTTTTTTGTTCCTCGGCTTTGCAAAAGCCCTTTAAAAAACCAGGCTGTAGAAAAGCAAACCTTTGGGGGGGGGGGGGGGAATGTTGGGGGAGGGGTTCTGAGCTGCTCAAGTGAATTGGACCTTCCCCAACTCGCCTCCCGAACAGCCCAGACTTCCAAACTTACACTTTTAGAGGGTTTTTCATTTGTAGTACATGTCTCCAATCGTCGGTAGTCTTCAAGGGGGTACCGCTCCGCAAAGAACCACCCCCCGAAACCCCCGGCCCTCTGTTGGCGCGCCTCCAAGGTGGCTTGCAGCTGCTCGCGCAGTTCATCCAGCTCCTTTGCCTGCGATCAAAGGGTATCAACCGAATTCGGCCTGACGGCAGCTAACAATCGCATGTTAAAAGAAGTCGTGAGAAATGAACGCCCCTTGGTCCATTGTTTTGTGCTTCCCATTCTGCGCATTCCTATGACCGCTTTGTCACTGTGAAGAGAGGACTCAGGCCACTCACAGAAAGTGACGACTTCCCCCCCCCCTCCACAACCATGCCCATGCTTTCCAATGGGTCCCCTTGCGGATGGCTGGGCAAACCGCGAATGCCGCACAAATGGTGCCTTCTTGGAGTGTCCTGTGGTTGGTTCCCTTCGCTAGATTTTGCAAGTAGGGGAAGAAGGGGCCCCCTAATTTACATCATTTCGCCGTAGATGCGTTGCCATTTGGGGTTCATCAATCCTGCCGAGCTTAATTTCGTGTTCACCCCCCGTGCAAAAACACACGCGCAGAGACACACACACACAAACACAAACACAAACACAAACAGAAACAGAAACACAAGCACAAGCACAAGCACAAGCACAAGCACAAGCACAAGAATAAGCACAAACACAAACACAAACACAAAAACAAACACGCACACACACGCACCCACACACCCACACACACACACGCACGCACGCACGCACGCAGGCAGGCAGGCAGGCAGGCACGCAGGCACGCAGGCACGCAGGCACGCAGGCACGCAGGCACGCAGGCACGCAGGCACGCAGGCACGCAGTCACGCAGGCACGCAGGCACGCAGGCACGCAGGCACGCAGGCACGCAGGCACGCAGGCACGCAGGCACGCAGGCACGCAGGCACGCAGGCACGCAGGCACGCAGGCACGCAGGCACGCAGGCACGCAGGCACGCAGGCACGCAGACACGCAGCACGCAGGCAGGCACAGGCAGGCAGGCAGCAGGCAGGCAGGCAGGCACGCAGGCACGCAGGCACGCAGGCACGCAGGCACGCAGGCACGCAGGCACGCAGGCACGCAGGCACGCAGGCACGCAGGCACGCAGGCACGCAGGCACGCAGCACGCAGGCACGCAGGCACGCAGGCACGCAGGCACGCAGGCACGCAGGCACGCAGGCACGCAGGCACGCAGGCACGCAGGCACGCAGGCACGCAGGCGCGCAGGCACGCAGGCACGCAGGCACGCAGGCACGCAGGCACGCAGGCACGCAGGCACGCAGGCACGCAGGCACGCAGGCACGCAGGCACGCAGGCAGGCAGGCAGGCACGCACGCACGCACGCACGCACGCACGCACCCACGCACGCACGCACGCACCCACGCACGCCTGCACGCACGCACGCACGCACGCACGCACGCCCGCACGCCCGTGCCCGCGCAGACGCGCGCAGACGCGCGCAGACGCGCGCAGACGCGCGCAGACGCGCGCAGACGCGCGCAGAGACGCGCAGAGACGCGCAGAGACGCGCAGAGACGCGCAGAGACGCGCAGAGACGCGCAGAGACGCGCAGAGACGCGCAGAGACGCGCAGAGACGCGCAGAGACGCGCAGAGACGCGCAGTGACGCGCAGAGACGCGCAGAGACGCGCAGAGACGCGCAGAGACGCGCAGAGACGCGCAGAGACGCGCAGAGACGCGCAGAGACGCGCAGAGACGCGCAGAGACCCGCAGAGACGCGCAGAGACGCGCAGAGACGCGCAGAGACGCGCAGAGACGCGCAGAGACGCGCAGAGACGCGCAGAGACGCGCAGAGACGCGCAGAGACGCGCAGAGACGCGCAGAGACGCGCAGAGACGCGCAGAGACGCGCAGAGACACGCAGAGGACACGCAGAAGACACGCAGAGACACGCGAGACAGCAGACCGCTCCGCGAGCTCGATCGGTGAGATCCGATCGAGACGCAGAGTCGGCAGACTTCAAGACACGCAGACAGGCAGACAGGCAGACACGCAGAACGCTGACACGCAGACACGCAGACACGCTAACCACTCAGACACGCAGGACACGCAGACACGCAGACAACACAGACAACGCAGACACACAGACAGCAGACACGCAGACACAGGACACGCTGACAGCAGACACGCAGACACTCAGACAACAGACACACCAGACACACAGACACACAGACACACAGAACACAGACACACGAACACAGACACACAGACAACAGACACACAGTGATACACAGAGAGATACAAGAGGGACACAGAGAGACACAGAGAGAGAGACACACACACACAGACACACACAGACACACACAGACACACACAGACACACACAGACACACTCAGACACACACAGACACACACAGACACACACAGACACACACAGACACACACAGACACACACAGACACACACAGACACACACAGACACACACACACAGACACACACACTTAAACTCCAGATGGAGAGTGCTAATCTTTCGAGTACAACTGATGAGTCTCGAGTACAACTGATGAGTCTCGAGTGGGTGGGATTCGGCTTGCAATACACTCGGTTTCACTCTAGTGTCGAAAACGTTACCCGAAAGAACAAGAAGCACAAACAGCGCCGCAACCAAGGGGGCCAAAAGGACGTTGCATCACGGCAGGTACGTCAGTCCAGCGTCCTGGACTGATTTCACGATCCAATGGTGCGGTCTTTGTTGGGCGATGCACACCAGAGGAACCATCGCCCCCCTGCCCCTGCTGCTACGGAAACTGTTGTGGTGGCAGGGTTTTCTGCCACTCCGCACACACACGCCCCTCTACGAGGGGCGAGGTTTCTCTTTTTCTGCAGGAAGATCACATGCTCAAACTCAAATCTCTATCGTTGACCAAAATATCCTCCACGGCGAGGGGAGCGAGACACTGCCCTAAACCGCTCAGAAGACGGGAACGAAAGATCACAACGTTGAGCATTGCGAGTGTCGCCATAGAGGACTGAAGCGACCTGCGAAGCAGCCGGGCGATCACCATGAGAAAACGGAGTGGCATAGGTAAAGGTCTCCTCAACTTGAACGGCATCGGAGTTGTGACCTTGACCAAGAGTCTGATCATGTGAATAGTGAGTTGCGAAGGACTCAATCCGAGACAGAATGTGCTGGTACCCTTGGTGTTGCCAGTCACGGATGTCCCATGCCTGGACTGGCGCATCAGGATCCGTCACCCGCTGCCATTCACGAAAAGAATTTTCAGGTAGATCAGGTACGGTGTCACCACGGTGCCATCGTTGAGGTTTTCCCGGAGTGTATATCCGCACCCACTCCTGATCATGCCAGACCGAATATTCGAGCCATGGATACTGCTTGGACTCATCGATGTCCATGTTGAGGCAAGAGGCAAGGATGGTCACGGGCTCCGATCCAGCTAGTAGATAAACAAGCACCATGCACAACCATGTTCAAACAACAGCAAAGCAAGATCATGCAAGTGTAGAGGCCACCCTTATTTTGTACGCTGCGCTGCTCATGCATGTCTAGTCTTCAGTCAGCTCGAAGACGGGCCTCATCTTGTCTTGGCCGCTGTCGGACGGATTCACGGGCCTGTAGGGATCGGAGACCCCAATCGTCTCCGACGGAGTGTTTCCACGCGATGCACGTACTGGTTGATGAGGGTGGGAAGCCTGACGTGCGCGGGCTGTCAGTTGTTGAGAAATCCCCTCCTGGAGACGAGTCAGTTCTTCAGTGGAGAAATCAGCCGCATCCGAGGACCTGAGAATCGCGTCTAACAGCTCCGGTGACATACTCAATGCCGCAGACTGCGTGGCCACGCTGTGGTGATCGGAGGGATACATGGAATCAAATTCATGACCAGCGTGGGGGGCAGCGATTCTCCGATAGCCTTCAGTGGCCCAGTCTCGTTTGTACCACGTAGTGACTTGGACTTGCCCTTCGACTGAGTCCTGGTTGGGAGCATAGAACTCCCGCCATTCTCTAAAAGTATGCGGAGGAGGTGGAGCATCATGTTCTTCTTGAGGCGTCCATGGTCCCGGATGAAAGATCTTGACCCACTGGGCATCTGGTTGTTGAGGATCCGGGCACCATTCCAGCCACGCCATGACACCGCAACCACGGTAAGACAAGTTGATAGGTGTACGGCTGCAGACAACAACAAGTGAAAGCAAATCAACTATCAAAATGCAAAAGACCACTTTTGTATCACTGTGCGGCGTCAACATCAAAGTCAGACTCTCCAGGGGGCGAGGACGGGCATCAGCTATCATGTGAATTAGATGATGCCGAGGAGGAGGTCATTCCAGCATACATGAGGTCCGGTGCACCCGAAGCGAAAACTGGCCTCGCTATGCTGGGATGTGGACGACCCAGGCGTTGGTACCCCCTGGTGACCCAGTCCCTGTAATACCAAGTGTAGAAGGTGGCGTAGGATACCGGTTGCAGAACCGCGCTTGTAGTTGTGCCGCCCGTGCTTTCCCTGGGCCAGTACACTTCGAAGTGGTAGACCTTGCGCCATTCCCGATAGTCGGTCGGGTCATCCGGGGCTGGTCCCAGGGTGTCAGGGGCTACCGGATGCCACTGACCCGGTACATAGATTCGAATCCATTCCACCCTCGTTCCTGCTGGCCCATTGACGATGTCATAGTCAAAATAGCGAGGTAGGACCCATCGTGCTGCACCCTGCACCGTACTATTGAACATTTCAGCCCGACAAGCTGCTCAAGGTTTTCACGGAAAGCGGCGGACACAGAGAGACAACATGCACAGCACCAAGCAAGACAACCCAATGAGAACTCACATACAAAGCAAGCACAACCGCATCTTTATCCAACATGCTACTGAAGTGTCAATCCGAATCATTCCAAGGATCATGGAATGGCGGCGGTGGCGGTTCCCGCCACGCCCCATCCGGTACCGACGAGCCCACCGAGGACTCGATGTCTGCATTGGCGAGCATCGCGAGTCCGATGGATTGGACAGGAGGTCCAAGTCGTTGGTACCCTCGCGTTTGCCAGTCTCGGTACTCCCACACGTGATAGGACACATAGGAACTGGGCGTGGCTATAGGATCCATTGTGGTCCGGTGCTGTCTTCAGACCAGTACACTTGGAA